TATCGGGGTATTCGGAGGCAAACTATTCGAGAGTTCCCACAATCACGACAGTAGAGCCTCCCTATTCAGGTGATCACATATGCCTATATGTGATCTCATATCTGTTAGCATTAGAGATAACAATGACCAGCAGGGCCGCACAGTTCACAGAAGGGTTGTAATTTTGTATGATATCACGGAGCGTGCCCATCCAGTGAATCACTGGCAGTGATGCAGAGAAGGTATGAACTGTATTGAAGAGTAGCAATGCAGTACGCTACTGCTAGGAATACTGCCAAGAACAGCGTTGGAGGAATAGATGCTCGCTTTCCTCAGCTCAGCAGTTACCTCAGCGCACGCAGGCTTGTTTGAACGCGTGAACATGTCTTGAGACGAATGAGCGAAGGACAGATAAATGCGGCGTATCTGAAGAGCGACGGGAGAACTAATACAAGACTGCGACGAGAAGGCTATCTTAACTCACGGAGACACCTACTAGAGAAGTTATACAAATCGATCATATGGTGAAGTGGGTGAGTCGTCTGCTTCACATGCCAAAGGACCCGAGTTCAGACCCTAACACCCACTTCGTTGATCAGTGTGAGATAATAGGCACATGATATACTAGTTCATATATTGGTGATAACGAGGAAATTCCTGCTGGTTTCTCCACACTATCATCCGAATTCCTATAATCAGCTCTGGAAACTCTTGGACTGAGCTCAGCTGATAAAAGCGAACATATATTCCTATTCCATCACATACCGAGATGTTCCACATCTCGATAACAAATAAATTAAAGTTTCACGCCCGAATATATAACACTTGGTCGTTTTCTTGTAAATTCATACCAACACATGTGATGAATAGCAATGCAGTTCCACCCGTTACAAACGCAACATTTGCTAGTTAGACGGTCACTGTGCCAAAAAGTGGGAAAAATAACCCGAACGGAGCGATTTCGACTTCCCGATACTATTACTACATGTCAAAGAGAATCAACCGAGAGCAAATCATACCACAACGCTAAGACTGCCATTATAGGGAAGCAACGGCTCCTGGCGACTAGTAATCGATAATCCATAATGGATTACACACCGTCCGAGTTCATTAGTCGTGAATATCAGCGACTGTACAGTGTACACCGTCAAGTCTATTGAAATTATTACATCTCATGAAAATGCTAAGGTATGACGATTCGACAGAAGCCCACTAAGCACGAAAGGGTGATATATCCCTACCGTGACTTAAACTGATCAAGTTCAAGTAATAAGATCTTCCTCTTGTTTGAGAGTGGACTTAGAAGCCTTAGAAGTGACCTCCTCCTCCCCTTCAGAACCGCGTATACCTCGCAACCATCTATCGAGTATCGAACCAGAAGTAGCCGAGGTATCGTCTCCATCGGAAAAGATACGCTCGTTCATCCTGGCATTAGGTATCAACCAGAGAAAGAAGACGGATGTGGTACTCAAGCCTATCAGTATCAATGACACGATCCATAGGTTGTCAAACTGCTGCGATTCGTCAACACCAGGTAGGCCTCGTGGGACCACGCCTAAGGATTGGCTGATGAAGCCTGCAATAGGCTTCGTAACATTCTTGGCGTAGTTAGATAAGGATGCCAACAAGGCAAA